GGCCCTCCCAAGAAAAGATACCCCCAGTGCCTAACTCATGGTGGCTGAATTATCTGAAATTAATTGTTCTGCTAGGGGGGCACATCTAGAATAAAGAAAAGAAATATTTTGGGCGGCATATCTTGCCAAGTCTCCATAAAAACACAGGACAGGTTAAAGTCAGGGTGAGAGGGGCAAGAGAGTCACACACCTTAGGATCCCATTAAGTTCAAGAAAACTTTAGTGATGACAGTGGTTAGCTGTAGTTCTGAAAAGCAAGACTAGAGGTGGGCACGGGTGTTTGCAGAGAGTCAACTCGCACAATACCCAAGGTGAATTATACTGCTTCCAACAACTCTTCCCACTGCTGATAACCCATCATCACCTACGCCTCTAAGCAAAAAGAGAAGCTGAGCTTCAGAGCTTCTCCAAGCCTGTGCTCTACATCGAGGAAGCATATGGTATATATCTGGCCCTTGGTCTAACTAGGACAAGCTGAATTTATTTTTGATCTGTCTATGAAAAAACAATTGAGTAAGAAGTTATGAATGCAAATACGCACATGACATCTCAGATCTGTGTGCGCACATGTGGGTGTGATTTTACCCTAGGCACTGAAGTGTAAACTCCATCGTGACAGGGCCTGGGTCCCTGTCTCTTTCACCTTTGTAATCGGAGCATCTATCATAATATCCGCTTCATAGCAAGGGCTCCAGAAAAGTCTCCCAAATGAACAAAGAAATGCTCAAGAGAATGAAACGTCCAACTCAAGAGGAACGCATTTCATGCTGACGATTTATATCCATCTATCTGTCTATCGAGATGACTGAGCATCTGAAAGGGGCCCAACAAACCACTACCTGCTTAATAATGGCTTCTTAGCAGCTTGCTCAACGCACCTGGTAGTAGTTTAACTTAAAACAGTTTTTTTCCTCAATGAGATAAGGCTCTCCTTGAGGTCCATTTGTGTGAGGTTTTGCTACACCCTGTTTCTCTGAAAAGACAAAGTCTTCTAACCTCTCCCTCGACTCAGATGCTGTTCCTCAGGACAGCAGACAGTGGGTCTGACACTGTGGGACTCACTACAGACAACTGGGCCTTTGTTTTCTTCACCAAATGGGGTTGATTCACATCAGTCTGGAGTTACTATATTTATTCTTCATGATCCTTCAGGCTCATGGTTTACATTTACAGTATGTGAGTCTTTAAGAATTGGGGATAAGGGACCCAAAAAGGCACACTGAAAAGCATGAACACAGTTTTGTGATTAGCTCATAGTCCCAGGACACATTGCTGGCTGGCCTATGACACATTTATTACAATAAAGGGTAATGTCTCAGTCTCTTTCACACAAAAGTAAGCCAGGCAGGGCTTTCAAATCCATAATCCTTTGTTTTTTAGCTGCAATGGAAATCTGGGGTTTGATTCAGGAAATCAGGGATAAGTAGGTAGTAGAAGGGTTGCATTTACTTCTGATAAACCACCATTTGTTGCTTTGTGAATCTGTAGTTACGAGACATAAAACATGCTCTTGAAGGAGCCAGGAAGAATGAACATTCAAATACGTCTTTGCTCTTAAACATTCCTATGTGAGCTGGACATTGGAAAGGCAAAAAATATAGCTTTTCTTGCTGAAGGAGCTCACTATTTCCAAGGAGGCTGAAATATGCACAGTTAATTCTAATTCTCTAGGATAACTGTTTAGGTTTGATATATAAACCTCGCTTAACAAAAGCACAGACTAAGAAGCAATAAATAAGCTTGAGGAGGTTAAGGAAAATTTTACAGAGGAAATGACAGTGGGGCTTTGCCTTGAAAAATGCATAATTTTCACCAGGGAAAATCTGGAGGAAGACATTTTAGGTAGAGGAAATTGCGTGAGATAAAGCACAAAAGTATAAAAGTACAAAGTAATGCTCGCAGGGTTCAGTGTGGATGAAGTAGAGGGTATTGGGTGTGGTAATAAAAGATGGGATTGAAGAAACTTATTAAAGCCAGATCACACAGGGCCTTGAATGTGCCAAGAAGTTTGGAATTTATCTTATAGAAATGGGAAGCCATCGGTTTTATTAAAACACATGACTGTCAGAGGGAGGTTTTAGAAAGAAGGCTGGCTGCATGGGACGTGGAAAGGAGAAGACAAAAGGCTGAAGACAGGCGGTAGAGTGGCTTCCAAATTTTAAGGAAGAGATAACCTAACAAGCAAACTACAGAACTACATAATACGTGAATTAGGAGCGCTCCTTCCATCCCTGCTCCATAGTTTGATGGTGGCACTTTGAAATCTCGTATTTGAAATTATGAAGTTCTGGCTCGGCACCAATAGCTCAAGCGGCTAAGGCGCCAGCCACATACTCTAGAGTTGGTGAGTTTGAACCCAGCCCAGGCCCTCGAAACAATGACAACTACAACCAAAAAGTAGCCAGGCATTGTGGTGAGGGCCTGTAGTCCCAGCTACTTGGGAGGCTGAGGCAAGAGAATCGCTTGAGCCCTGGAGTTGGAGGTTGCTGTGAGCTGTGATACCATAGCACTCTACCTGGGGCGACAGCTTGAGGCTCTGTCTCAAAAAAAAAAAGAAATCCTGAAGTTTTAATTCCTACAATCCCTATGGAATTCTCAATTTATGAAGCTCTGTGTTAGTCACATTAAAAAAGTATGAATGAAGTTATCCAAATTGGAAAGAAAAAAGTAAAATTATCTGTTTTACAGATGACATGATCTTATATATAGTAACACTAAGATTACGTACACACATACAAAAACTGTAGAGCAAATAAACAAAGTCAACAAAGTGACAGGATACAAAATCAACACATGAAAGTCAGTTGTATTTTTATACATTAGCAATGAATAATCTGAAAAGAAAATTATAAAAATAATTCTATTTACAATAGTATCAAAAATCACTGAGGAATAAACTTAATAAGAAAGGCAAGGGCCAGGCACAGTGGCTCAAGCCTGTAACTCCAGCACTCTGGAAGGATGAGGCAGGCAGATTGCTTGAGCTCAGGAGTTTGAAACCAGCCTGAGCAAGAGCAAGATCCTGTCTCTAAAAATTAGTGGGGTGCTGTGGCGGGTGCCTGTAGTCCCAGCTACTAGGGAGACTGAGGCAGGAGAATCAATCACTTAAGCCCAAGAGTTTGAGATTGCTGTGAGTTATGATGCCATAGCACTCAACCCCGGGGCAACTGAGTGAGACTCTAGTCTCCAAAAAAAAAAAAAGAAAAGAAAAGAAAAGAAAGAAAGAGAGAGAGGCAAGATATATACACTGAATACTCCAAAACACTGTTGAAAGAAATTAAAGCAGACATAAATAAATAGAAAGGTAGCCTATGTTCATGGATTGGAAAGACCCCATATTGTTACAATGACAACATCACGCAATCAATCTATAGATTCAATACAAATCTCTATCAAAATCCCAATGGCATACTTTTAAGGAATAGAAAAACCCAAGCCTAAAATTCATATGGAATCTTAAGGGACCAAAGAGCCGAGACAATCTTTAAAAAGAACAAAATTGGGGAACTTCAAAACTTACTACAAAGCTTCAGTGTCAAAACAGCATAGAGCTAGCAAAATGACAGACATCGAACAACAGAATAAAATAGAGTGCCCAGAAAAAAGCCCTTATGTATATGGCCAATTAATATTCAAAAAGAATGCCAAGGCCATACAATGGGAAAAAAGCACTGATATAGACCATTTTCAACAAATGGTTGGGAACATTGAATATTCACATGCAAAGGAATGAAGTTGGACTCACACATAATGTCAATATGGATCAAAGACCTAAACTTAAGAGCTAAACTATAACAACCTTGGAAGAAAACACAGGGCAACATCTTGGTATATTTAGCAGTGATTCAATATGACACCAAAAAGCACAGACAACAAAAGAAAAAACTAGATAAAGATTTAAAAATTTAACACTTTTGTGCATCATATACACAGTGAAGAGAGAGAAAAGGCAACCCACAGAATGGGCAAAAATATTTACAAATCATATATCTGATAAGGGGTTAAAATCCAGAATATAAAAACGTCCTATAACCACAAAACAACACCAACAACATGAGTTAACAACGGGCAAAAGACTTAAACAGATATTTCTACGTGGAGTACACAAGTGCGTGAAAAGATGCTCAAACTTAGTCAGTTGGGAAACGCAAAGCAAGGGTGGGACGAACATTTCACATCCACTCGGATGACTATGATCAAAGAAGGGGAAATGACGGAACAGTTCTGCATTGTTGGCGGGGATGTGAAATGGCACAGCTACTTTGGAAAACAGCATAGTGGTTCCTCCAAAGTATAAATACAGAATTACCATATGATCAAAAACGTTTAACCCTATGTATATACCCAGAAGTACTGACGGCAGGGACTCAAAGAGAAACTTGAACCCTAGTGTTCACAACAGCCAAAAGGTGGAGACCAACCAAGTGTCCATCAGCAAAGGAACAAATAACAAAAACAGTGCAACATACGCGCGATGGAACATTATTCATCCACACAGAGGAACGGAGTGCTGATACGTGCGGCAAAGTCGATGAAACGCTTGCTGGGTGAAACCAACGAGAGACAGAGTGACAAATATTGTATGGTTCCACTTACACGAGGTTCTTAGAGCAGTAAAATTCACAGAGGAACTGAGAGTGGGGTGAGGGGGAAAGTGAGGAGGAGGTAATTGTGTAGTGAGTACGGTTTCTCCTGGGGAGGGGGACTATAGTGCTAGCTCACAGCAACGTGAACCTACTTAATGACACTGAACTGAGCACTTTACAATGGTTAATAGGGTAAAAAATTTATGTTATATATATTTTGCTACAATTAAAAAAAAAAAACAGCATGATAGCACTATTTTGACTACAGTGTAGTTGGGTCTCTATTAGGTAAAGAAAACTGAGCAATCCATGGAAAGAGAAGCCTCTTTCCAGATCTGGGTGATAAAGGCTGCAATTGTGAAGGTGTCTGTTAGCAGCACGGGTGGTCAAGATGCTCGAAATTGGCACACTTACATTGCAGTTGGATGAGCCGTCACACAGCGGGTACGGACCGTCCGGCCAGTCGGCAGCGCCCAGGGCAGCTGAGTGCCGGTGCTGGGCTTCATACTCCTTGAGCTGCAGGAGGAAGAAATGGAAAAGTGAAGGCAATGACCGGCAAACCCTGTGCACCGAGCAGCAGGGAGATCTCTGCGGGCACCGTCGTGCCAGTGCTGGTGACTAAACGTCAGCCAAACACACTTTCCAGACCCAGATGAAGATAATTGCCCTGCCTGGGGTTTCACCTAAATCAAACAACAGACATAACAGGTTCTTTGTATCCCAGGTTCCAAAAGAACCTTGATTTTTTTTCCCCTTCTGCATCCAAACTCATCTTTCCTCAGCTTGATGCTGAGTCTGAAAGTGGAAATCGTCTGTACTTTGGCCTCTGAATTATGCCCCTCCCCACCCCCAACTGTATAAATGAAAAAACATACACTCCTTTTTTTCAGGAAGAGACAGACACGTTAGTAAAAACCGAGGCAGAGACCTGAAACTTTTTTTTTTTTAAATCACGTGTTTTTCTTATTCAAAACTGCTTCAAGTTGCTGGTCCGATGTTATCCCCTCACAAAGGGTATGAAGCTTATTGGGGACTTCTGAGGATGGGGGGAAATAAGATGACTAGGATGTCATCAGAAATATTTAAGGTCTAGGTTTAGGAGCTAGGTTTCTAGAATTTGAAAAACACAGAAAGGCAAGGAAAAGGCTCCCGGAAGGGACCAAATTTAATTTAGCCAAATCAGACGAAAGAGCTTTTGAAATAACCTATGTGAGAAGGTCCAGGTGTGTTTGTTTTTATAAAATACACAGAAATTAAACTCTGCTGCTGAATATCATTAAAAAGTTGGCACTGCATTCAAATCCTATCACCAAGTAGTTTTTAGATAGGATGAATTAAGACAGTGATCAAATCCTGTTCCATGGACCAAGTAGTTTAAAAACAGAAATAATTAGACCTGACAGCCCACGTGATGGCAACCAGGCGGTCCTCAACCACTCAGGCTGTGTGACATGGAAAAGCCACCACACTATTATCCCTCTGAGAAAAAACAACTTACCCAAGTGTTATTTCTATCTGTGAAATTCTTTTCTGTACATATAAGTGAGAAGAGGTAGACAGCATTGATCGCTGGGTAATAACTTGGTAGCTGGGAGCCCTGGGGACAGATTATTTAACCCCTCTCTGTTTTAGCCCCTCCACTGGAAGATAGGCAAAATAATAAACCACCCTCCCAGGGTTAGAATGCCAGAATTAAGAAAGATAATGCAGCAACACTATTATTACGACTGCTGTGGCTTCAGAAAAGAAAGCAAGCTCAAAGTTCACATTAACGCCACGTGTTCAAACATTTTGCTATTTGGGGTGCTACTCATTTTAATGTTTCTAATACATTAGGGACACATACTGTCTGATCTTTATAGTAATTGGTTATATACTAGAATGTTCTTTCCATCTGGATATATTGGTTTCTGACGTGTTACATTCTCCCTCTGTGATTGGGGGTATGCGCCCAATGGAAAAGGGGATTATCGCGGCATCATCGGGCTTTCTCCAGGTCTCTGCTTCATGTTTATGCTCAGTCTTAGCTCCAACTACCAGAAGCCGCTAAATAAGCTTTCATTTTTAATGAAATAAGATACAGATTCCTAACTAGTCAATCATAAACAGACAACGACTTTTACTGGCTTTGGTCAATCTCCACCTTCTACTTTAAGGCAGATCAGTTTATGTGCTTCTTCTGATAGAGATTTTTAACTCTGTGCCCTACCCAACCTAATGCCACATAACTGTTTTTTAGTTACCTGAATTGTAACATGCTATGTGACTGAAAGGTACAAAACAAGATCTCAACGTATTTTTAACGAGCATTGTACGGGGGAGAAACACTTGGTTATTACTTACACAAGTACATTTTTATTCTCTACTTTGGTTCAAGAAGTTTTGATTTAATTATGCTTTCATGAAGGAATGGTACGTCATGATTTGAGAATTCATGTATGTTAAAGCAAATTCGTAGGCTCAGCAGCTTAGGGTGCCAGCCACATACACTGCAGCTGGCGGTTCGAATCCAGCCAGGGCCCACCAAACAATGACAACTGAAACCAAAAAATAGCCAGGCGTTGTAGCTGGCACCTGTAGTCCCAGCTACTTGGGAGGCTAAGGCAAGAGAATCACTTAAGCCCAAGAGTTTGAGGTTGCTGTGAGCAGTGACACCACAGCACTCTACCCAAGGTGACATAGTGAGACTTTGTCTCAAAAAAGAAAAAAAGATTAAAGCAAATTTGTAGTTTTACACTGATTCCATAGTTATAAAATAATGACATTTTAAAGTGTGCACGTGTATGCTTTTTATGTAGAAATACTCCTTCATATCCCGTTTTCACTAGTCTCACTGTTTTCTCATAGTTTTGAAGCCCATGACATGATTCTTAGAGAGACGGCCAACTTCAGAAGATCTGTGGTTAATCCTAACTTGGAGACCTTCAGGGAGAGAGGTTTTATACCATTCCAATTTCTCCTAGAGCTTACTATAGAGAACATTTACATTATACCAAATTGAAATCCCCTCCAGCTGCTATTTTAATTCATTTCTGTCTACTCTGTCCTCAGTAGAGATTTAAAAAAACAATCAAAACATTCCCCAGTACATCCTCAAGATGTACTGTTTGACAGTCCTTCAGACTCTTAATGACTGTGATTATGTCTTTTCCTACTTCTTTTCTGAGATAAATCCTTTCAAGCTTCTCCCTATGGGACCAATTTTTTAAAAATCTCCTATGGACTCTCTCTGAGCCCCTTTAGGTGTCCAAATCTCTGTGATTGAATGATGCTACAATAATACATCCAGCTTCCCAGTTCATAATCCTGTGCTCTGGAAAACACTGGATGCCCTGAGTCCCTTTACGAGACTGTTCACCTGTCCCCCAGCTCTCCCCAGAAGCTCCCACTCGGCACTCTGCTCTACAGAGCATGGCTAACAGAAGCTGTCCCCACAGAGATGCCTAGAAGTCTGTGCCTTCTCCCCAACCAGCTTTCCGACACTTTCCCCTGGTAGACAAACCCTACGACGCAATTCACCCCCTAGACCTCCCCACTCCCTGTGGGTTCAGGGAGAAGCTCCGTTTCCCCTGAAGTCACATTCCCATCCAGCTGCTTCCTCTGCCTCCACTGGTTCCCTCCCTCATTTAGAGATTTCTTTAAAAGCCCGCCTTTATAAATAACTTGCACGATGCTGTAAGTTGGATATTTGTGCCCCCCTGAACCCTCATGTTAAAATTTGGTCCCAACATTGGGGTAGGGCCCTAATAAGAGGTGTTTGGGTGCCAGGGATAAAGATTCCTCATGAATAGATTAATAACCTAGAGGGGCAGGTGAGTTCTCTTCCATTATTACTGGCTCCTAAGGGAGCTGGTTGTTAAAAAAGCCACCTGCCTCTCACGGTGTTTCCTCTCTCCTTGAGGCTTCCACTAGATGACCCATCTTTCAGCCAGCAGAACTGTGAGCCAAATAAGCCTCTTCTCCTTACAAACTCCTCAGCCTCAGCTGTTCATTTCTAGCCAACACTACAGGGACTGAGACCCTGAAGAATCCCCACCTCAGGCTCAGCTTACAAGCCCTGGAATTAAGGAAAGGTGACAATGCCAAACCTGAAGTGCCCCGGTCTCATCTCCCACAGACTTTATTTCTGACAGTCACACAGGTGTGGCCTTGTGGAAGCAGATACACACTGCTCAGATGAATAAATATGTAATATTTAGTGATTAGATCACATTACTTGAGCAGTCTCTGGTATTAATAATTATCATTTTTAAGGAAATATTATTAAGTCACAGATTCCTCTAGATAGTGCATCCAGTTAAAATTTTCAAAGAACCCTTTTTTCTATAGCAGAGCTCCATCCTTGCTGAGTAGCGTCATGTCAAAACAGCACTGGTATTAAAATCCCCTCCCCTCCTACTCTCACCAACACACACGAAAATCGCCCAAGTAAATGAATAACCTGCAGCCTCCAACTACCTCACTAGACTTTCCCTCTCCTGCAGAACTGATACAAGATTAGAATACCCTGAACTTACTGGCTGACAGCAAGGTACACCCTAAATATTAGGACAGGCACAGCTCATTTTATCATGTTTCACTTTATTGGGCTTCGCAGATGTTGTGATTTTTCGAAATGAAGGTTTCTGACAGCCCTGCGTTGGGCAGTTCCACTGATGCCAGTTTTTTAATAGCGTGTACTCACTTTGAGTCCTTGTGTCACGTTTTGGTAATTCTTACAATATTTCAAACTTTTTCTTTATTATTGTATCTCCTATGTGATCTGTCATCTGTAATCTTTGATGTTATAACTATAGTCATTTTGGGCTGCCACAAACCACGCCCATGTAGGATGGCGAACTTAATTGATAAATGTGTGTTCTGACTGCCCCTCAGACAGCAGTTTCCCCGCTCCAGGTTCCTCTCCTCAGGCCTCCGTATTCCCTGGGATACAACAATATTGACATTAGGCCAATGAATAAACCTACAATGGACTCGAACTGTTCAAGTGAAAGGATCTGCACATCTCTCGGTTCATATCAAAAGCTAGATAGACATGATTAAGTTTAGTGAGGGAGGTGTGTGGAGAACTAAGACAGGTCAACAGCTAGACCTCTGGCGACAGCCAACGTGTGGATGCAAAGATATTACAAGTGCTACTCTAGTGAATGAACAAATGATAAGAGAGCCAAGCAGCTTTATTGCTAAAAAGAAAAATTGTGAGTGGTCTAGATAGAAGATCCAACCAGCCACAACGTTCCTTTAAACCAATAAACCAGAGCAAAGCCCGACCCAACATGATCATTACAAGAGATCTATATCTTAACTTTTTTTTTTTTTTAAGATACAGTGATGAAGTAAATTGAGACCCTGAGCTGCCCGTACATTAAAGGAGGCAGATCCTCTCTGCAGATTATTTTCTGCTCCAATAACATTTTTCTTAAATTGTTCCATCCCTAGCAAAGAAGCAGTCTATTTAGACACTGGTAGTTAGGGATGTGTGCAGTCTATTTAGACACTGGTATAGTTAGGGATGTGTGCAGTCTATTTAGACACTGGAAGTTAGGGATGTGTGTTACCCTGAGAAGAGCAGTCCAAAAATATCTCTGCTACCTCCTCAGTAGTCAATGGGTACCCAGCTTCTTAGTTGACGTCTAGAAATGTTACCAGTCTTTTCCTCCGGCCTCTGCATTTCGCGATCGCCTTATGGGCAGTATTTTTGATCTCCCGGTGAGCATGGTGTTTGCATCTGCAACTTGGGAAAGGCAGCCACACTGCTGAAGCCCCCATACAAATCTGCCTGCACTTGTGTCACTTGCCCACTGAGTCACCTTCTGGTTTCCTTTCCATGAGAACAATGGCTAGCTCTTAAATTATGAGCTTGGGAAAAGCTTCAAGCCATTTTTTTTCTCCATGTTCTCCCCCACTTGAAATTACTCCTTTGTTCCTTCTTCAATTATATTATAGAAGCTTGCTGTTCCAAGTGGGCTACACCCAGGCCATGTCGTAACACTTTCTGTTCCACCAAGAACACTGGATTAGGCACCATCACAGGCAACAACTGGACAGGTGCTGGCAGATGACTGCAGACACCTGCTGCACTCAGATCTTCAGCTTCACCACTGAAAAGCAGTGCAGAAGCATCAGCCCTCGGGAGGTGGTAAGGATCTTGCTCACCACTGTAAAATGACATACAGGTCTGCATTTTTTCATATGCACTTTCTAGGAATTCGGCTGGACTGTGTCCGAATTCTATGGCATATCCAAGGCAAGGAAGTGGAGAGAAAACAGATGGTGGACTTCTGCCCTGGCTGGCATGTGGGCAGAGGTGGTGGATGGTGTGGCTGCCCAGATCAGCTGAGGATGCAGCCTAGGTGATCAGCAGTATAGACAGGAGGCTGTTACCGGCCTCCTGCCCCGTACCAGCTGACTCGTCTGCAGCAAGCCCAGCCACACCGCCCAGGCACCCTGCCACCACAGTTTGGGAGTCTCTGGATCCACAGACGGAGAGAAGCCAGCAGTTGAGTGTCCCAAGATGGTCCTAGCCATCGGGTCTCCTACTAAACCCATTCCCACCCAACAGCCCCATAAGTGATCCATGTTTTCCAACATTATCTTAGCGGAAAATTAAATATATTTTTTTTAACTATTGAGGGTTAGTATCAGATAGAGTTCTCTTGTGTCATACTTTAAATACACAAACACTAACAACAGCTGATGAGAAAACAACAATAAAGAATCCACAAAAAAAGATACGCGTATAATTTACAGGCTATCTGACATTGCAATTAAGCAAAACAGTCCTCACATACTACGCATGTGGCTTTCTGGCCATGAGTTGGACCACCCCCCCCACCCCCCAATCTCCTTACAAGGTGGAATTCTTCCATTAAGCAAACAGAATGCAGCAAACATTCGGCTGGACACAGTGGCTCCTGCCTATAATCCTAACCCTTTGTGAGGCCAAGGAGGGAAGATCCCTTGAGGCCAGGTGTTTCAGACCAGCCTGAGCAAAATCAAGACTGTCTCTACAAAACAACGCAGAGACATTAGCTGGGCCCGGTCCCGCACTTGGGAGGCTGAGGTGGAAAGATCGCTTGAGCCTAGGAATTTGAGGCTATAGTGACCTATGATGTTGCCACTGCATTCTAGCCCAGGAGACACAGAGTAAGACCCTGTCTTTCCTTTTTTTTTTTTTTTAAATCATTGGGGATTCATTGAGGGTACAAGAAACCAGGTTACACTGATTGCATTTGTTAGGTAAAGTCCCTCTCACAATTGTGTCTTGCCCCTAAGAGGTGTGTCACACACTGGGACCTCCACCCCCCACCATGTACTCAGTAATTAATTGTCCTCACATCAAAAAAAAAAAAAGAAGAAGAAGAAGAAGAAGACTATAATAAATATTTCATCTGACCTGGGTACCTAATGACACCAAAATGTCATCAAAATAATCCTTTAGATATTACATACCCCTACCCTTTATGATCCTAAATATTTGTAAATGTCAGAAGGCCCCATCCCCATAATCACAGCCCCGACACCCGCACACTTACCCTGGCCAGGGCCTCCTCGATGGTGATCATCTTTTCTTTGACCATCATCATTAGCTGGATCCGTTCTTCATCACTCATGGTTATTTCACTGGCAACGTAACCGACATCTTCTCCTGGAGGTTGAGGAGAGAGTGACAGGAATAAATAAGAAAGACGAAACAGAACCCCTGCACTGAAGCCTGATGTCTCCGGCTGGGGAAGGGTGTTGGTCAGGGGCGCTGCCAATGTCAGTGCGTTACTCATGGAGCGGCGGGTTGGTAGAACCGCACTGCTTACAGGGAAATGGGCTCCCAGAATGGGTGGATGTTACAAAGGAACAATGCTGCCAAGGATCACAAGGGTTGGGAAGAAAGTGACAGAGAGGGCCACCTCGCAGGCAGAGCAGAGACCTAATTTAAACCCCACATCCACTAAGCATCCCACAGCTGCCTCAGCTGAGGGCTCCCCAGGCCCTGCCTTTTGAAAGAAGAATGAGGAGGAAACACTTTGGCCAAGGAGCGGGAGAGGGCGGACATTCATGACAGAGGAAGGGAAGGTCAGGGTCCACCCCACAGCCTGTCAAACCCTTCAGGCTGGCTGAGCCACGTGGCTGTCCCCCCACAAAGGACAGCACAAATAAGTAAAACCACAGGTATGAAGCACGTGGAGTTCATATATAAAGGACGCCACCTATGTCTGTATCTGAAAATAGGTTTGTGATTAGGGTTGTGATTAGGTTTCAGGTTGTCAAACCTGAAAATAGGTTTGAAAATAGGTATCTTAAATAGGTTTCCAACCTGTGAGGGGAAGTTGACTTCCTGCTCAAACCCGGGGAGAAGAGAACCTCCCCCACCACCACCAATTCCCTCTAAAGATTTTCCTGCACAGCTAACAGACTGCCATTGTCTCTACTATATTTAAGCCCTATTGGCGAGGTACGTGGGTCATTACGAAAGTTCTGAGATATTCAAAAATCAAGAAACATAAAATCTGCACAGACGGAAACCAATGAGGCCCTCGCAGCACCACTGATAAGCTGAGCCGGTGGAAACATGCACAGGTGAATCAGAAAGGACGCTGTCGACTGTGTTTCTTGGAAGTGAAATAATGGACCATCACAGTCTGTCTCAAAACTTCCATCATGAAATACGTAAACCTCCAGTCAGTGAGTGGGGAAGGACGTGTCGGGGGACGTGGCCTGCAAGGCACCGTCCGAGAACGCGCCCACATTCCGGCCCCTCGTCCTATAACCGCCCTGCCTCTATCACTCATGCTTCCCCAGCTCCTGGTGTTATTAGGATGCACAGCTGGAGCTTAGTAATACGCCCTTGCTGTGGAAGGACAGAGTGAAAGGGCTGGCTGCAGACTTAAAGGAGCTGACTCCAGGCGGGCTGTGCTTTGCAATTTATGTCCCCCTGTATTTTTCTATCTCATTTCCATTCTGTAATCAATCAGTCTAGAAACACTACTCAAGTCCCCTTTGCCACTCATCTACTTGTAAGGGAAGAATAATAGTGTGTTCCGGGGGAAGAGAGAAGCTGGCTGGTTTGATTCATTTTACTATCTGTGTCGCCTCTGATAGCAGAGAGGGGCATGGGGACTTGGTTGGAGTTTTTTTAAGCCACGTGGGCTCCGACACTGCTAGCTTCCTCCTTCCTTCCCTCCTTCCCCCGCCCCATCTCTCTTTCTCTTAGCTTTCTTTCTAAATAAGACTTCATTAGAATCCAAGATTTATTTTGAATCACAAATAATCCGAGGTACATCAGAAGGAAAAACTGAGAATGTTTAAGAATGACTCCCTCAAAGCAGAACAACCTAAAAAATGAACCGCATGGAGTGCTGCCACGAACCCCAGGTGTGCTGTGGCACATCTGCCGCTCGCATCCTTTTTTCTCATTCCCAAGTGTGTAGATACTTGGAGAAGGATTCTGAACAGCACAGGACTCTAAGAGTTTGTAAAGGAAAACAAGGAGCCTCACTGGTGAGCGAGGAAAAATTTCCATCTATTGATAACTTTATTCAGCTGGACTGGAATCTGGAAGTGGATTTGTTCTGGTTTCCTCTCTGAATACTGGGGAAACATAAATTATATAACGGGACCTCAAAGGGTTGACATATTTACTTACTATATAAACAACAACAAAAGACACAGCCGAGAAGAGTGCAAAACTCCCTTTAAAAAGCAGCCCGGGCAAATTCCCATGATGTCAGACCATTGGTGTTTCCAGGGGCAACACCCCCATAACTGTCCCTGTCACAGAGAGCATTGAAAGTCTGGAAGAATGCAAAGCCTCCAAGGAGGTTCCAAAACCAACAAATGCTGAGGATTTCTAGACCCTTTTAGATCTTAGCAAGGTGTCAGTAAACATCTTTCTGAAGTTGGTGATGAGGTCAAGTAAAGAATGTGGATTGTTACTGTCAGATCTACGAAAACAATGGACTACCAGCTCTTCCCGTTTGTTTTGTTTTGATTTAAAAAACCCCACTGGAATGAAGTCTTCAAGTAACGATGGGAATTTCTGAAAAGTTAAACATTTTATGGGCACAGGCAATCAGCTATTCCACCTTACAGCATCCATTTAGAGGCTGGGGGTCCCTAACATTTTAGAGCTAAAAGGACCTACTGTCCGCCAGCTGTGTTGCAATACCTTTTGAAGTCTGTCTCATTATTCCTTTCTGGTTCTTTCGGAAGTTCTGCCAGAAATACTTATTTTTCTTCTTCCAATCTCCTTTTCCTTTAAAATAATAATTAAAGAAAAGCACAAGCAATAAATTCATTAATAACAAAAGTAGCCTCTCCCCCATAATTCAAAGCTTGCAAGAATACTTTGATTTAACAAAAAGACAGTTTTTCTCTCTTAGTTTGTGGAAGACTGGGGAATGCCTATAAAGCTGTTTAAAAAGAAAATGCAAATTTCCTAGTAGCAAGAAATGGTGCAGTGGGGTTAAGATGAGAAATACAGAAACATCAAAAAAGGCCAGCAAAGCACGAGTTCTTGTATTCACTTTGATGTCTGTTTAACTAGTAGGCCTAATTCTGCCTCGTCCTGTGGTGTAGTTCCCCCTTTGGTCTTAGCCACAATTATTTCAACTACACCACAAATAGGTTATTTTAAGAAGTTAATGTTTTGTTGTTCTTTCTATTGTTCATCTGCCCTTGGCTTCTTTCTGTTATTCCAGCTTTAATGGTGAGAACAGAATGGCTGGGCTGTCCGTGCGCACTGTTGAGCACAGCTGGCCCCATGGTCGGTGGGGCTGACCTGCACTGTTTCTCTATGGGTCTAGTGATGATGGCAGGAGAGGGCCATGATTCCTCTCTGGCATTCAGGCTACCCAGTGACCTACTTAAAGCTTACCCAGGACATAGAACAAGAAAAACAGATTGCAATCTGGCCGTGGCTGGGATATCTCTTGGTTGGGTCTCTCACTATCCTCTCACCCTTCCTCGACTACTATGGGTGACTTTCAGGGGAACACAAATTCACCGCCCGAGCCGGGCATTTCTAATATTTGGGAGAGTTTCAACCACCAAAGTAAGTAATATCTTCTAAAAAGCAAAGGGAAAGAGAAAGAAATAAAATGAATGGGAAGAGTAGTCCTTTATTCCTTAAAGAGAAAAAGCAACAGGGCTATCGGCCACTTGCTGATGTGGCACACTCGGCACAGAAGCTCTGTCACCATCTGGTGTCTGTCTGGCTGCTCCATGGCCACTGGAAACAGGGCCCAGGAAAGTAATGGGTTTCCACAGTCTAGACTGGTGGTGCCAGGCAATGCTGCCCAGAGCAGACATGTGGGAACCATGTCCCTGGTGCTCTCAGGCTAGAGAGGGCGTCGTCTGTCAAAACAGGATGCCTTTATTTAAGTTCTGACAACCCTCAGCGCTATGGGAATGAAATCGGAGCCATGCAGCCTGAGACTTCCCATGTGTGCTTATCTTGACACAAGTCCCCTGTCGCCTGCTGCCTTTGGGCTTAACACTAAAGCAAATGTTAGCCATCAAGCATCAAAACAGACTGGTGACTGTTAATTCAGCCTCTCTAGCAGGCGATTTGGTAACAGAATGGATTACTGTAACTGGAAGCTACGTTTCCTTGCTCCCCTTTCCCATGTTACTGTTTCTGAAATCGAGGCACAGCCTAAAGAACATGACAATTGCTCTCATTTGTTCAACACTTACCGTTTCTAGGCCCTTTGCTATCTAAGGGCGTTATCACTATTGGTCCCATTTCGTTGATGAGAAAACTGGGGCTTGGAGAATAAAATCACTTGCCCGAGGTCATAACTACTGAGTTGGCAGAGTCGTAATTCAAATCCAGGCAGCTGGGGGTGAGCGCTATGCTCCTAATCATTACTACCCACCTCTGACCCAAACAGAAAATCAAGGACTAAGCCAGGAATGAATATTATAATCAGGGATATATAAAATATACAGTGCCTTAACTGCACAGAATCTTCACTGTAAGAAGTCCAATTTAGGGATGTGGTCTAAGGACATTATCAGGGATAGAGGCTATAGGAGCGACCTCCTTTGTCTGTGTAGAGGAAAAACTGGAAGCAAAGCTCAACGTCCAGCACAGAACTGGTTCTTTAATTCAATTATGGCACAGCCAAGATGAGGAAGTATTGTGTGGATTTAAAAGTTTGATTGTAAAGAATATTCAGCCATGTGGGGAAATGATCATAACATACTCAATTTAAAAACTTACAATATAGTATGTAAACTATGGTCACAATTAATTTTTTAAAAAACCTTACTCAATAGGAAAAAAGGAGAGAAGTCACACATCATAATCTTTTTTTTTTTTTATTTTTTTTTTGGAGACAGAGTCTCAAGCTGTCCCCCTGGGTAGAGTGCCATGGCATCACAGCTCACAGCAATCTCCAACTCCTGGACTCAAGTGATTCACCTGCCTCCGCCTCCCAAGTAGCTGGGACTGCAGGCGCCTGCCACAACACCTGGCTATTTTTTGGTTGCAGCCATCATGGTTGTTTGGTGGGCTCAGGCTGGATTCAAACCCGCCACCTCAGGTATACGTGGCTGGCACCTTAGCCACTTGAGCCACAGGTGCCGAGCCTACGCATCACAATCTGATCAGTGTTTACTTCTGAGTAGAGGGATTCTTCGTGGTTTCTGTGTTTTAACATGTTCGCGTTATCTATAAAGTATTAAAGGACAATAATTAAACTGTTAAACAAGAAAAGTGGTACTAACCTACAGAGCCGTCTTCTGAATTTGATTTGTGAAGAGGGTTCCTAGAAAGGAAAAGAAAAACAGGTGAGGTTAGAAGTGAAAGTCCTCCTAACTAGTGTGACCCAGCATCAATAATACTTAACAGAGTCGGGAAAATCCACTTAGGTTATTTACCACCAGCCTTTACCCCCGTCCGCTGACTTACAAGAAACAGACTAATGTGCATTTGTCAGCATTTATGAAGGACGCCCTCTAGGGTTAGACCTATGATATTAAATGAAGAGAAGAGACCCCCCCCAGATGATTGTTCAAGAACCTTTCATTTCTGTAAAATTATTAACTACAAGTGAAGTTATGGCCATTCGGGAGTTTCTTGTATAAGTGGAAAAGAAAAAGCAAATAATAATGAAAATAAAAACTGAGTGCTGTAAACCCCACTTAGCCCAGCAGGTGAGAGAAGTGGTCAGCAGTAGAGACAAGAAGGAGGGGGCGGGAGAAGTGTGTGGGAGACTGGAAGCCCCACACAGAGGAGGCAGCCAGGACGTAATTCCTCTGGGGGTTATAGCCCAACGGTAAGTGCAATGTCCATCTTGCTAAAATCTCCCCATTCAAAGAAAAGCCAGAAATCTACATTTGTGTGTGACAGCCCCCGATTTTTAAGTGATGGCGAGTAATTCAATGGTTTTAGGAATGCATTCAAGTCAATCAAGGGTGTCTGGGCACCAGACTGGCAACACATCCCACCCTGCGCCCCATGCGCCCCTTGCTGACGGTTTGCGAAGACGTACAGATCATAGATGACCCTCCTGGATAACCCGAGAGGTTACACAGTTCCAAACCAGTTAATTGGCGTTTGTCCACAAAATACTTAGACACAAATTGAAAGCAAGAAGCCATGGAAACCAAAGAAAGTTAAAGTACATTGTCTCACAATCAAGAGTAGAAGTTGGAGCATAATGTTTCATTAAGTGGGTCCCAAGCCCAGGGGGCAAGGTCAGGGTCCTTGGGCCTGCTGACAAGGAAACCAGAAAGGAGGAAGCTATGTCAGAACAGAAGCACAGACACTCAGAATCTTCCAGGAGTCCTCCCGCCATGACAGAGGATGGAACAGGTGTCGGGTAAACACTCTCCAGCATCGGAAAGCTTGGGAAGTCGGAGGTCAGGAGGCCAGATCTGAGTTCCGCTGAAAAAACTGCAGGAAGATAAACAGAACATTCAAATCTCCGCAGGGGAGGCAGTGATTTTCTGCCTCTCATGCAGATGAAAGAACCTCTGCAATTTAAGGTGACAGAAGACAGAGGGGCTTTCCATGCAGGCCACCGTGGATAAACTGCTGGGCTTTAGTGTAGCTGTGTTGGTGCCAGCTAGCTGCTGGGGGCCACTGCGGAATGGGAAGCCCACGCCCTTAAGCAAGGCTGAAGAGAGAACTGTTTCTGACGAGCACAAAAATCTGAAAGACCTCTATTGTAAACCAGCGGAGAGTAGGAGCTAAGAATCAGGGGAGAAACAGTTGCAGAGGACATGAGCTAGACTTGAATTCCAGTCATTTCCCCCTTACTACTATGCTGAGAACACAGAAAATATAAGGAAACTCTAACTTGGGAAAAAAACCTGTGGCCAGGCACAGTGGCTCAAGCCTGTAACCCCAGCACTATTAGAGGCTGAGGTGAGAGATCATTTGAGACCAGGAGTTTAAGATCAGCCTGGGTAAGATAGCAAAACTCCATTTCTGGAAAAACAAACAAACACACATTTTTGTTTTGTTTTGTTTTTAGAGACAGAGTCTCACTCCATGCCCTGGGTAGAGTGCTGTGGCACCACAGCGGACAGCAACTTCAAACTCTTAGGCTCAAGCAGCACTCTGGCCTTAGCCTCTTGAGTGACTGGGACAACAGGCACCCACCATAATGACCAGCTAATTTCTCTATTTTTAGCGGAGATCAGGGTCTTACTCTTGCTCAGGCTGGTTTCGAACTCCTAAGCTCAAGCAGTCCACCCACCTTGGCCTCCCAGAGTGCTAGGATTATAGGCATGAGCCACCAGCCTCAGCCTCTGCAAAGATTTTTTAATTAGCCAGGGATAGCTTAGCACCCATAGCTCAGTAGTTAGGGTGCCAGCCACATGCACCAGGGCTGGTGGGTTTGAACCCAGCCTGGGCCTGCTAAAAAAACAACCAAAAAAATAGCCGGATGTTGTGGTAGGCACCTATAGTCCCAACTACAAGGGAAGCTGAGACAAGAGAATTAATTGAGCCCAAGAGTTTGAGGTTGCTATGAGCTGCGATGCCATGGTACTCTACCCAGGGTGATATAGTGAGACTCTGTCTATAAATAAATAAATAAATAAGCCAGGTGTGGTCGCAGGTGCCTACAGTACCAGCTCCTCAGGAGGCTGGGGGGAGGCAAGGAAATCACTTGAGCCCAGGAGTTCGAGGTTACAATGAGCTATAATCACACCACTGCACCCCAGCCTGGGTGACAAAAGAAGACTGTGACTGTAAAGAAAAAAGGAGGAGGAGGAAGCGGAGGAAAGAATAAGAATAAGGGAGGGAGAGAAGCATCAGCAGCACAAGCAAACGCAAACATGCTGAAGGCACAGGGCAAAACAGACAGGCAGCAGAGAGCCAGCCACTGGCTACTATCCCTATCTTAGGGGCAAGAAGCTCTGCAAAGAGCAAGAGCATTTAAGCTAAGTTTGGACTATTATTTTTTTCTCCCAGATCTTACTCTGTTGCTTTTTGAACTCGAAATCACAGTACTGTGCATCAACCCACCTCACCTGCACTGGCCACGACCCAGCAGGGTGGTCAGGCAGGCTTTCAGGAAGGGGCCGCTAAGAGTACAGAAGCCCTCACAGGCATTTTACAGTCACTCTAAGGCCTTGGAAAGTCTTGACCTCATTGCTAAGGGGCAAATATATCAAACCTCCCTAGCTCTGGATCAAACTGGTTAACCTCGTAATGAATTAAAAATATGTACATGGGCTTTTACTTTTTCCAAAAGAAACCATTTTGCAGGAAAATGGTCTTTAAAAAGATTACTTTCCTTTAGTCCTCTGCTAACTTAGAATCATAAACCTTACTGAGTTGTAAGGTATTTTTCTAATCATTTAATACAAATCTCAGTTTTCTAGGAAACTGTGGTTTCCAGAAATTAAGGAAGTGGCCCACTGTCCCACAGCTACTTGGGGGCGAACCAGCGACTGTACCCAGGTAACCTGACTCCAGCCCCAGTGCTCTTCCAATAGGTGCCTTACTCTAACTGGCAAAAAAATGCACAGAAAATCATCAATTTAAAGGCTCATTTCGATTTTCTCAGCCCTATTTTCATTCTTTCTGCCAAAGGTGAGTATTTTACATCATAAAAATACTTCAGAACTAGGTGGTGCCCATAGCTCAGTAGATAGGGCGCCGGCCACATACACTGAGGCTGGCGGGTTCAAAACCAGCCCAGGCCAGCTAAAACAACAGTGACAAGCTGGGCATTGTTGCAGGTGCCTATAGTCCCAGCTACTTGGTAGGCTGAGGCAGGAGAATCACTTAAGCCCAAGTGTTTGAGGTTGCTGTGAGCTGTGATGCTACAGCACTCTACTGAGGGCAAATGTAGTGAGACTCTGTCTCAAAATTAGAAAAGAAAAGAAAACTTCAGGGTGGCACCTGTGGCTCAGCGAGTAGGGCACCTGCCTCATATACCAAGGGTGGCGGGTTCAAACCCGGCCCTGGCCAAATCGCAACAAAAAAATAGCCGGGCCTTGTGGCGG